CTGGCCCTTTAAATACAGTTCCTCATGTTGTGACCAAACCATAAAATTATTTTCGTTGCTACTTCATAACTGTAATGGTGCTACTGTTATGAATCATAATGTAAATATCTGATACGCAGGATGGTCTTAGGCGACCCCTGTGAAAGGGTCGTTCGACCGCCAAAGGGGTCTCGAACCACAGGTTGAGAACCACTGCCTGGTTTGGCTCAGTGGATAGAGCATCAGCCTGTGGACTGAAGGGTCCTGGGTTCAATTCCAGTCAAGGGCACATGCCCGGGTTGCAGACTTGGTCCCCAGTAGGGAGTGTGCAGGAGGGAGCCAATCAATGATTCTATCTCATCATTGATGTTTCTCTCTCTCTCTCCCTCTCCCTCTCTGAAATCAATAAAAATAAAAAATAAAAGAAGCCGATAATGGCATCAACTTCAAAATATTGATTTAAAGATTAAGTGCAGGTATACAATCCCTTTTCAAATTCCTTGGGATCGATCATGTATTCCTGAATTTTTTATGGAATAGGGTAATATGCAAACCATTTACTAACCAAACTCCTCAATGTGCCCTGGGTCAGCAACAAATGAACAAACAAAACAAACTCACAGACACAGACAACAGTATGGTAGTTAACCAGAGAGGAAGGCAGTGAGGAGAGGACGAAGAGGCCAAACGGGTCAACTATATGGTAATTCAAGTTGAGTACACAATATACAGATAATGTATTATAAACATGTACACCTGAAACTTATATTAACCAATGTTATCCCAACTAATTCAATTTAAAAAACACCAAAGCACAGGGCTCACTTAAGGCAAAGATAACCCCTTTGCTAAGGAAACTATAGGCATGACTACCATTATGACCTGCCCAGTTAGGAATTTATGACCACACCACCATGTGGTTACTCATTCACCCGGCTCATCAGGCATGCCCAGTAGCCCGAGCTTGTCCAGTTTTCTACATAGTCCCTTTTTCGTTCACACCTCTTATTTACTATTAGAGGCCCAGTGCACAAATTCGTGCACAGGTGGGGTCCCTTGGCCTGGCCAGCAATTGAGGCTGACTGGGGTGGGAGGGGCATGGGGGGAGAGGGGAGGTTAGCTGTGGAGCTGTGGGAGTGCACTAACCACCAAGGAGCAGCTCCTGCATTGAGAGCCTGCCTCCTGGTGGTCAGTGCACATCATAGTGACTGGTCGTTCGGTTGCTTAGGCTTTTATGTAGATAGATTACTTGAGGATTCTAAAATTAAATGTATCTTACTAGGGAGTGGGGCAGTATGAATAAATTCTGGACAGCACTAGAATAAATTCTCTGCATTGCAATTGGAATACTGAAGCATTTGGGGTTTTTGTGTGTGTTCTGTTTGTTTTGAAAAAAAGTAAGTATTAAGAAGATACTTTTAATTTCCATCCTATCTTGTTAAAAGATCTTTGTTTGCTAAAAGGTAACATGGATATGTATAAAAGCAATAGCTTACAAGTACTTTAAGGGATTAAGTTGCATAGTTCAAGAGTATAAGCCCCAATATAAACTCAAAAACAGGGTAGCATATCTGTTATCTGAATATAGAAATATTGTAAGACATTTAGGATATATTTTGATACTGTTTAAGATTTTTAAAAGACACAAAAATCATCCTTACAGTAATTGCCAGTTATAATCAGTAAGTCTTAAAATTGTTTTCCAAAAATACATCTTAATTAGAAAACTATGCTTAATACTAAGTCTTAATAATGCCTACTAAAATTAGGACTTATCCTCATTTTCTTAAAATATGAATTCCAAACTTATACAAGTTATATTATCTTCATAAAACAGTACCAGCTCCATTCATTGGTATTGGCCACTTTAAATTAAGTCAAAAATGAAATACATTATTACTATTTTAAAAATTTTATTCAAATTAGATCCATGCTTATTTACATTATTTCACTTAAAATTAAAATATTTATCAATTTGTAGTTTAAATCATACTTTCAGCCCTTTACAAAATTTTATAACTTAAAATTGAATAGTGAAAATTAATTTTTTAAATAAAAATGAAAAATTATGGTATTATAGTACAAATGTATACATACTAAACAAACAAGTAAAACAAGATAAAGTGTCTACAGTCATTTTGTTTTCTTATGGCTACTTTCTAAATACTATAAATCATATACTTCTAATATTCATTATTAATTCAATTAATAAATCAAATGCCAATTGAGGGATCATGAGAACAAATTTTTCCTGAAGATTCTTTTTCTTTTAATGTATTTTCATTGATTTCTGAGAGGAAGAGAGAGATAGAAACATCAATGATGAGCATCATTGATCAGCTGCCTCGTGCAAGCCCCACTCTGGCAATCAAGCCCGCAACCCGCGCATATGCCCTAATCGGGAATTGAATCATGACCTCCTGGATCATACAGGTCGACTGCTTAACCACTAAACCACACCGACTAGGCTGAACATTCTTTTCTTTTAACTACAAAAACTAATGTTTCCTTAAGTCAGAAATTATCCATACTTAGAATATCTTAAATCACAATATAGATACATTCCTCCATGTGCTAAATACTGTTAACACTGGAAGTTCTCAAAACAGAAGCAAAGGGGGAAAAGGAATGGTATTCTCAATTTAGTTTCCCCAGAGTTGGAAGGATGCCTAGCATCTGTGCTTAGATGTTTATACATAAAAAACAATGTTCATACCTCTTTTACTCTTCTTTCATATTCTTGAAATTAAGATTTATAGTATCTTTCTGTTTTCTTCCAAGAATAGAAACATCTAACTGCAAACTATATTCTTATCCATTAAAATATTATTTTTTTAGAATACAGATAGACAAGCCTTAATGACAAAGCAAAATATGGCAACCAATATTCAATACATATTCTTTTATTTAGTGGAGTCTTTCAAGAAATTGATTTAGTATACTTCTCAACTTAAAAATGTATTGAGATATCTAAGTTTACAGTAAAATAGGATTAGTATGAATATCAACTATTCACTTGCAGATAAAGAACAACATATGGTAATATACAGCCAGAGATGAAATTAGCTGCTTTGAATTTTTTAATAAATTGAAAACTCTTTAAAGTTTTAAGTTGAACTGGTTTTATTAATGTTAAGAAGGATTAAGAGAAGAGAATGTTTAATATGAAAATAGATGATATCGTTTTATTTCAATTTTTTCCCACAACTAAAGTGTTTTTCTCTCTCACTAATGAATATTTTAAAAAGAATTTCATAATTCCTAAACTTCTCATTTCAAACATTTGTCAGAATTTTGCAACTTAAGTTTCCTATATCTTCTAATTCTGTATATTTCTTATTGCTATCAGTCTTGCCATTCCGTCAGTACCTAAATTTAAAAAAAAAAAAAAAATCAAGATGACAAAAAGCAATTACACCGATCTTACCACTAAAATATAGAAAGTTAATTTTATGAATTTGGCTCACTTTGAAAGAATATTTACTAATGCTAAATAAACATCAGAAATCCAGTGCCAGAAATACGGTCTGGAATACAAAAAGAAAAAGAATGTCACTTGAATTGCCCTGAAAAGCATTCCATTCCTTAACATGGCTTACTTATAGTTATACTCCAAAGTTCTAGTGTTTAAAATTTAACTCACAATTGAGAGTTTTTATTTTGTAAGTAAAGGCAGCTACAAGACTTTCAGGAATAAAAGGTATTAAAATTAAAATATTTCATAAGTATACAACACAGACTGGTTAACTTCTGAATAAAATAACATTTGGAAGAAGGCATAGCTATTTTTAAAAGCTATTTTGCCCTATTTTTGTGTTTAATGGTTCAAGAAAAAAAATAAAATTACACAGAATTGCAAATGCCAAATTTAAATTGATTCCTACACTTTGTTATGAATGTTCTATAACATTCACTTTTAATGTGCTAAAAATAAGGTTTTACAAAATGTGAAAGTATTTTCAAGAGAAAATTATATTAACAATTTTATTATGTTGATTCATTTCATAGGGTAGTACAAACAAAACCTCTTCAAAATCGCTTAAATGTTACTGATACCATCACAAATCATTCTGAGCACATTTTCCCCATTATCCAACCATGCCTAGATAACTGCATAGCTTAGCTTTCTCCAGACAGTAACACAATTTGTACAGACTTAATTGTGGAATCTGGGTAAAATAAATCTTGACCACAAAAATGTTTTAGTTTTTTGTTGTTGTTGTTAATCCTTACCCGAGGATATTTTTTAATTGATTTTTAGGGAGAGTGGAAGAGAGAGGGAAAGAGAGAGAGAAACATTGATGTGAGAGAAACACATCAATTGGTTGCCTCCTGCAGGAGCCCCAACCAGGGCCTGGGCCAGGAGGAACCTGCAATCAACGTATGTGACCTTGACTGGAAATCGAACCCAGGATCCTTTGCAGGTTCTATCCACTGAGACAAACCGGCTAGGGCCACAAAAATGTTTTTAATTTAAATTATTCATCCTTTAATCTCCTGTGTCAGTGTGACTTCTACTTTAAAGGAAAAATATTAAGTTCAAAATTTAGTAACAGGAAGTTTAATATTTTTTAAAAATTGGACACTTAATGTCCATTTTCATGAGCAGTAAATAGAAATGTTGAAGATTTAAGTGTGAAAGATTTCAAAGTTTCAATATATCAATATCACTCATTGAATGTTCTCAATATATACAAACATATAAATTATAGATATAATTAGTTTTTATCTATAATACAATGTATGAACACCATTATTCTTCCCCAACCATACTGACATAAGGATAAAGTAATAAATCTCGGTGCTATTCATGGAAAAAAAAAAGATGCTTTAAAAAATAAATCTTTAAAGATAGTTTCAAAAATAAAGTTCAAATATTGCACAAAATAATTTAACTGCAAATATTACTATATACTATAAAACTTTTTCCAATGTTTTATCTCTATAATAAATTCCACTTTCTAATTCTACAAGAGAATTTATTGAAAGTCTGCATTTAGTTATTAAATGATTACATTCAGTTTGATGGGAATGTAATTTTCAGAAGTTAACTGAGCCTCTGTCTTAAAAGTTCGTCTATTTGAGTCTTATACATATTTTTTACATCTTCAAGATCTAATCGAAGTTCTTCCGCCTCTTCCGCTTTTTCTCCATACATCTGCAAAATAGTGTTGTATCTCTGATCCAAATCCTACAAAACAGATTTGTTTACAATTTGTAAAGTAACTGTACAGAACATCTTGATTATATTTATATCATCATAAACAAGTCACCAATAAATACAATCTAAATAAAAGTATATAGTAAGCTCTTATGAAAATTAAATTCATACTCTAGTCTGTTGGAATAAACAGCAAGTAAAGGCACTTAAAGAAACCCCGTCAACATGGCAATCACTCTTCTGTCCCCCTACAGACTTATTTTGCATATTTGTCAGGCCATATTTCTTTACTTTTTAGGAAAACACTTAGTTCTATAGAAACTTCAAAGATTACCTTCGAAATAATCTTTAAAGTGCCCTGGGAGGATAGGGGTTTTTAAGATTTAAATAATTTCTGGCTAGCATTTTTGAGCTGCTCCCAACATCTTACTAAAATACCTGTAAAGACCATCTTAAAGGTAAAATTGCCACTTCCAACAAAATTATGACTCACAGCTGGTCAGCTTATGGTTTAGGTCTAGCAAGAATTTCTGCTAAGAAAAAGGCAAATCTGAAAAGAATTAGAATGTAGCATTCACTACTACGTATGTCCCCCACACAAACAAACATACATTCAAACATTTCAACCCAAAAGAAGGTGTGAAAACACAAGGTCATTCACACCCTGTGTCTTGACTCAAAGAAGCATCTGGTATGGAAAAACATTTCTCCAGGTGCATCAAGCAAAAGCACATACAGGATCAGTAACCCTGGTTTTAGGAGCCATGCCTAAAGAAAGAGCCAGATGGATATTTACGCATAAAGTTGTTTATAGCACTTTTAAAAAAAATATGTTTTATTGATTTTTTACAGAGAAGAAGGGAGAGGGATAGAGAGCCAGAAACATCGATGAGAGTGATCGATCAGCTGCCTCTTGCACGCCTCCCACTGGGGATGTGCCCGCAACCAAGGTACATGCCCTTGACTGGAATCGAACCTGGGCCCCTTCAGTCCGCAGGCCAACGCTCTATCCACTGAGCCAAACCGATTCGGCTGTTTATAGCACTTTTTAAAAATCAAGTTAAAAAATTCACAACCACCTGAACAGCCACCAGCAAGGGAATTAAATAAATTATGATATAGAGAGAAACCAAGATGGCGGCATAGGTAAACACCTGAAATTGCTGCTTCGCACAACCACTTCAAAAATACAACTAAAAAACAAAACGGACATCATCCAGAACCACAGGAAGGCTGGCTGAGTGGAAATTCTACAACTAGAAGGGAAGAGAAAAGCACACTGATACTCAGAGGAGGTGCAGAAGTAAAGTGCAGAGGTATGGAGGTGCACGCAGAAAGGGCTGGCAACTGAGGACACGGTTGTCTTTTCCAATCGGGAGGGAGACACAAGCTCCCGACTGCTCTGAACTCCAGTTCTGGGCGAGTCTCTGGGGACCCAGACTCATACTGGGAGAAACTGGACTGTCTGGCAGCAGGCGGAACTCGAGGGCAGCTTTCTCTCAGAAGTGCTCACAGCGATTACTGCGGGACACTGAGACCCGGGCCCTCTTAGGGCAGGACTAAGGATCAGCCATAGCTGTTTGCTCCGCCCTGTTGATTCCCTGAGACCCCGCCCCATCCAAGCTGTGTGCAGAGGCTTTTGCATATGAATGGCCTGGCCCTTTGCAATCTGAAAATTACCTAACAAACTGCGCTGGGTCAGAGAGACACAGAACATCCAAAAGAAGGCCCAAGGCCCCACAGCAGCTTGCATTGCTTCATCCAGGCACCTCCAAACCCCAAACAAAGAAGAGGAATCTGCAGATCTCTCCTTAGCTCCTGCTGGGTAGCCTGCGGCAGAGGCTAAATTAGCACCTCCTTAGAGATCCAAGAGCCAGTTTATACCCAGTAGTCAGAGTGGGACCATCCAGATTACAACTCCTCAGATCCATAAGGGACACACTCAGGGGGCAGACTCAGAGAGCACCAAAGCCCCACTGAAGCAAGTCTTGCCCCAGAAGGGTGTCTCCAGCACAGAAGTTCTCCCACTGTAGACACAGCTGATTCTCACAGCCAATTGGCCTGGAGGTCAATTCCTCCCAGTGATACCTACAACAATCAAGGCTTAACTACAACAAGACTGTGCACAAAGCCCACAAAGGGGTGCACCAAGAGTGTCCACCTCAGGTAATTGGGGAGGCTGAGCCACTGGGCCCTATAGGACACCTAGCACACAAAGCCACTCTACCAACACAGGGAAGCATAAAAAATGCAGAGACAAAGAAACAGGTCACAAATGACAGAAATGGAGGAAAGCAAACGACTGGATATAGAGTTCAAAACCACACTTTTAAGGTTTTTCAAGAATTTTCTAGAAACCGCCAATAAACTTAGTGAGACCCTCAAGAAATCTAGTGAGACCCTCGAGGATATGAAAAAGGACCAACTAGAAATTAAGCATACACTGACTGAAATAAAG